GCCTCTGAGGTTTAAAAAGATCAATTAATCATTAAAAAGAAAAAAAAAAGACAACTAGATAGGAGGTTTCCTGGGACATGTGGCATGAATTCTCCAACAGCTGAGTCTGCCCTTCATTGAGTAAAGGGAAGATGTGGGTGAGGAAGATGTGGGGTCCACCACAGAGATCTTGAGCTTTTCAGAAAACTCACCACCTATGACAATTTGCTGTTCCCATGAGCTGGCAAAATATTACCAGCCTTCCCCTCTGAGCAACGATGGGAGCAAGAGAGGAATCTCACTCCATGGAGATGCCTCTGAGACACCATGGAAGGATCCACCTCACTGGTTGTGGATGTGTCTCTGAGTCAGCTGCTGCAAGAACATCCATGGGGTGACTCATCTGACCCACTGCAGGCTGGGATGAACCCCCCTCCTCACTTCCAATACAGGGAATTAGGGGGATTGGTTGGGATGTGATCATTTAGTTTTCAGATGCTTGAGTGAGAGTAGATGAACACCATCCAGGCAGCCAAACACTCCTGAGTGAGAAAGCCTTCCTCCTCATGAAGTGAAAAATAGTTTTGCCAAGGACCATTGAGGGCCAAGTTTTCACTTTGAGAAAGAGGAAATTTTTACCCCTTCCACTCCTTAAAGGTGGACCTGATGCTACACCTACTGCCCAGCAATTAAAAACTTCATCCAGTCATGTTTCCCTTCAATAAAGAGTTTTTCCTTAAGAATCTTCACAGAATCAGATGGGATAATATACTGTCCCCTGCAGCAAGAGAAAGAAGCAAAACTTGCCTCGTTCTGAGGAACAAATGAATAAAAATAAAAAATCTGGGCTATTAAACCACCACACAGATTAAAACATCTCTTCCTGCCCTAACCCTCAGCTCCATTTAGCAAACCAACAAATCATAGATAACAGACTATAATTATCCTTCCATTTGCAGCTCCTGAGCAATCATGACCCAGCCATCTCTAATGGGGTGCAAAAGCCACTGTGGCTGAGGCTTCTTGGGAAATGCCTCAACACTGGATGGACAAACCTACAAACACATGTGGCAGATGTTTAATGTTGTATGTTCAGTAAGGAGCTCTTGGGCTTCAGTATCCCCAGTGTGTTATAAAATAAATTATTAATGCTCTTGCCATAACTATTATTAAGAAGAATTCGACCATATACGTATTTATCCCCCTTTCTATCAGTTTTAGAGTGAATTAGGAATTGCACTAACAAAAAGTTATTGAGTTACTTTGTTAGGTTTTGGTGCTTGTTTTCATTTTTAAAAAGGGCATTAGGCAGAGGTTGTCACACCTTCTAAAGCTTTTTTTTAAAACAATATGGCAATTCAATAGATCGGAGCAGTTTCAGAGCATAGTCCTACCTGAAGCCATCCAAGAGTAAAATATGACACCTGAATGAGCAGGGATGAGACTTTCAGGATGTCTCCAGGGCAGATTAATGTCAGATGCAAATCAGTTCATTCCATGGGGTGATTATCTCTGAAGAATTTGTATTCAGCAGTAGCCCGGAACCAGAGCAGCAACCAAGTCCCTGCGACCACATCCATGTACTTCTGCAGGACCCTTCCCAAGGGAATATTCCTCAGCACAACAGCCATGGCAGCTTTAAATGCTCTGTGTGATGACGCTCCCGCCTTTTCTTTAGAAGATGGAATAGTTTGTCATAAGAAGTTCAACCCTGAAATTACTAATCCTGCTCTAGAGGTGAGCCCACCAGTTTGCACGGGAACACAGTCAATGAGCTGCAGTGAGTTACATAAACAAGGCTGGAACAATCCAGCGAGTTTTATACACATTCCTGGTTTGTTTTGTGGAGGTAAAAAGTCAAGGCTAAGGAGACAGATCAATAAACTGACAGAGCAAAAGGTGGGCAGAGAATCAAACACCGGCAAAGCAATGGGGTGAGGACATTCTGCTGTGAAGCTTCTGAAAAAAAAATCTGCTTCTCTTCCCATGTATTTGTGCCCACTCAATTACAATCCAAACAGCGTCTCAGCAGCCACAGCAGACACGTGAATCCCAGTACTTGTGGAAAACTACCAAATACCTTTCTGTATGCAAAGCATTTCTTAAGAACAGAGCAAGTTCAGCACACCAAGGGAACTGGGAAAGTGTCTCCTCAGGGATGCTGTGTACTGGGAAACAGGAATACTCTGAAGCAGCTTGTTTCAGCGGTGCTGCAGCTAACCCCGATGATACAGGATCAGCAAAGATGACTTTTAAGTTGGGGGGGGGAAAAAGAGGGATTTGCTCACTGCTGCATTTACACCCTTTTTAGCAGAGTTGTTTCACTTCTGTCCTGATGTGGAAAACTCACCCCAAAATCCTGCTGTCTGCAGTATGTACCAAATCACAGGTGGTATGGGATGGCTGGAGGTGAAAGGAGAAGAGGGATTGGAAACCAAGGAACATGAGCCAACAAAAAAATTCACTTTATTGACTTAAAGGTTGTGGCTGTGCCCCCTGGGCTAAGGAATGGGGTGAAATAAAATTTAGTATCTCCTCTGACTTCTATGTCCTTGCATCAGTTTAACTCTCCTGAAAACAGTGTCAAATAAATAAATCCTCTGTTAAGTCAGAACTAACTGTTACAGACCTGATATCTCTGCAGGTCTCTCTGCCACAGATGAATTAGAACATGATCCTGTCCTGAGTTTGCTTTTTCTCAGCGATTCTTCATTCAAATACTCTGCTTTCATTTAAAGATAATTTTAGGAATTAGACTGTTTGTACTAAGTGTGCTCAGAAGGAAGGAAAGGAAAACAAAATCTGCTACATTGGAATGAATCAGCTTGGGGACACAGGTCTCAACTTCTCAAAGGCATAGGCACATATGGAACTCAACCCCGGAAAAAAATATCTCCAGGATGCCAGCTCAGTCAGCCAAATGAAGAGAGATGTGATGCACAAAGGTCTGAGTGTGATCAACAGCACAGCCCACAATCTCAGAAATCTCTGCTTCTCTCTCCCTGGTATCATCCCACAACAAATCTCCTGCCTTGGTGTTTGTGAGCTTCCCAAACACACCGACAGCAGAGCTGGACAGATCCGTGTGGCTGCGGCCCCACCGTGCAAACAACAGACATCTTAAACCTACAGGGAGGAAGGAGCCCTCCAATTCCTCACAGGGAACCCAAGGAACAATGGAAGGCTAAAGCCAAGGAGCCATCACAAGGCTAGTTCTCTGTTTAAAGAGAAATAAGTGTATTTATCACACAGAAAGCCCCCTGTGACCTTTGAGCCCGTGCAGTGTCAATGGTTATCCTTCCAGTCATGTACACATGCCTCTGACTGGAGAAAACAAAACCAACAGAAACCTTCCACTGCTGGATGAGATGAACTGCCTGGACAATAACAGATGTTATTACCTGGACAATAACAGATCAACTGGAGCTGTCCTGAATGACAACACAGCAGCAACCACTGCCTGCAGCACAGAGGGACAGGTGGGGATAAAGGTAGAAGACCACAACCCAAAACTGTAACCAAGACAACAAGCAGACACATCAACTTTAATCCAACTCCCATTATTTCACTGTCCAGCATTCCTTAATTATCCACCAAATTGCAGCAGTGTTGCCTTACCCACCCCACAGGACAACTTCTTCCCAGCCACCTCCAGCGTGTTTTGCATTGGCCAAAGACAGATGCTTGTATAACACGTTCTTTCTCTGCAGCTACACCAGCAGCACTTTAAGGAGTTTGCCTTCCTGCTGTCCTTAGCCTTAAGTAACCAAATATTCCCTCTGATTAGCCACGGGAATGTTTCCCTGCTGTACCTGACCAGCGCTGCACAGGTTGAACAGAGAACTGAGGTGGCACCCAAAGAACAGCAAGGGAAAACCCCTTTGCTGTTTGTTGACTCCAACAGACTAAATAAAAATATCCCAAAAGCTCCTTCACTTCCATGTTGTCGTATCAGTCCAGCACTTGCACTGTAATTAACAGGCAGCAGAGGGATGGGAATTGATGATACCCTGGGAAAGAATCAGGTCACTTTGCTGCCTTTTTCACTTTAGTTAATATTTCCTTCTTATTATAGTTCCCTCCTGTGCTACTCCAATATATCCTTCAAGCTAAAGGCCAGTTTCTGTTTACCTGCAGATCAGATGCAGAGGAAATCCACTGACTTCCAGGGAGTTCTTCCAGACCTGCTTCTACATGAGTGGGATGATTGTCTGGTGATAAACACCAGGATGTCACTAACCAAATCCCCCTTTTTTTCCAGGCATTTTTCCAGTTCTGAACAACATGCTGCATTACCTTATTATCTTAATCACCCTGGCTGCAAACTCCTCAGATTCCAACACGCACCTGAAGGGTTCACGTCCTAAATTCTCAGCGCATCTGAGAAGAGCCTGTCCTGCCAACCACCCCCCGACTTGAGATGTGCTTTGCATGAAGATGGTCCTGTCGGAACCAGCTGTTCAAACCCTGATAAGGAGAAGTGCCCGGAGGCAAGCAGAGGTCAAAGGCACACTAACCGCAACCTCTCCTGCTACCCCACAGGAAAAGCGGGGAAGTCCTGGTGCTCTGCTCGGAGGGTGAATCAGAGTTTCTGCGGCAGGTGAAGATGCAGAACTGCAAAGGGAGCCGGGGGCTCGGAAATGCCGCCAGCAGCAGCGGGGGCCGTTTAGCAATCACATTTTATTTACCAGCCATATTGTGTTAAAACCAGACGTGACTCCCATACCGAGCGCCTTAACCTGTCACCACTCGCGAAGGGAGATTGATTTGTTCGGGAAGAACCAAACCTATCTGGAGGACGCATCCTCCGAGCCTACAGTTCTGCCGGAGGCAGAAAGCCTGCGTGCGATCCCCCGCTAAAGAAGTATTCCCAGGACCTGGGGAAGCGGAGGGAAGAGCCGGTAAATCAATGTCGAGACGAGCCGGCGGGTCCTTCTCGCTTTGCCGCTTTGGCATCCTCGGGGTCTGGGGATGGGGCAGCGCCGGGGGGGGGGAGCCGGGGAAGGAAGGAAAGGACTTACCATTGCAGCAGGGATCCGTCCCGGTGCTGGAGATGCCGCATCCCCGTGGTGCGGGGCGGGGCGGGGGCCGCGGGGGGACAGCGGCCGGTCCAGCCCCGCCGGCTCCGCGCTCCCCCCCGGCCGGAGGAGGGGTCGGCGCCTCCGAAGGGAATCCAAATTCCTCCTCCTCCCTCGCCTGCCGGTCATGTCCGAGCTGCCTTTGCTCAGGGGATGGGCCAGCTCCTGGCCGTGAAGGAATTTGCCATCGCTAAAATAAAATAAAAAACAAAACCACAACCACCTAACCAAAAAAAAAAATAAAATAAAACCAAAGGGGGAGGCGGGATATTTGCAAACTTTGTTTTTTTCTTTTTTTTTTCTCTTTTGTTAGGGGGGCTGTTGGTGCTCAGGGAGGGGCAGGGGACTGAAAGGGTGCTCAGGCTGGCTGAGATGCTCTGCCCGAGTGAGATGCTCCGGTGCGCTCGCCCCTGTCCCTGTGCCTGTGTGTGATTCTCATACCCAGACAATGCTCTGCAAAGCGAGCTGGTCCTGCGGAGAAATGCAAACACCTCCTCCCCCGAGTGCCTGAGGAAAGGGAAAGCGAGAGGGAACCAATAGCTTCTCCTTGGCTGCTCTCATTAATATGGAGGAGGAAAAGAAACCAATGAGGAGGAGCAGGAGGAGGGATTTATTCAAATCAAGTTTTTAAATCAACCCTTTCCCCCCTTTTTTTTTCCTCTCTTCGCATCTCCCCCAAATCTTTCTTCTCCGTGTCACCTTAGCCCCATTTTCCGGAGATTTTTATTTCTTATTTAATTAGTGTGCCAGGGTCAGCAGCAGACGGCGATGGGAGGGAGGGAGGATGGCATCGCTGCTGGGAGGGAGAGGGGCTGTGGAAGGGAGGATGAAGGGAGAGCCAATTTCCCCCTGAGCTGCAGAGAGTTGATTGCAAAGAAAAGTGATAAAGTAGCTGGAGTTGAGGAAAACTGAGGGGAAGCAGGGCAGGAATTTCAGCTGGAAGCACCATTTTGCAGATGGTATTTGCAGATGGGCAGGTGGCCTGCATCCAGGATGAGCCCTCTGAGCTTGGAAAAGGATTTTCTCTTCTCTCACAGCAGACACACACCCAGGAAGAGAAGGGACTGCACGGGAACAGCAGCATCTGCACTGTCCTGCATTGCCTCAGAGCTGCACAGCAACAGCATCCCTGCACCACCAGTGCAGGAGTCAAACCTGTTACTGGAAAACCAGTGGAGTGGAGCTGTGGAAAGTGCTGAAATGGCTGGTGATGAAGGGAAGGGCTGTCCAGCTGATTCCTGTGATTAGTACTAGGAGAAGAGCAGGGTGGCACATGTTCCCTGCAAGGTACATACATAAAAGCATCCAGTCACTGACTCCCTTCTGCAGAGCAACCTTCAAGGGAAAGCTCTCCAGGCCTGGAAAATGTTCCCTAAAGGAGCCTGGGCATCTATAGCAGCCTTAGAGGAGCCTCTGACAGCACATCCCATGGAGATACTGGTACCACACTGTTTTTGCTGCTGCCAACCACGCTGCTCTCAGCCACACAGATCCATGTGAAGAATTTGAGGTGCTGAATGCCCACATGCTCACCCAAATCCCGTGAGACCTGTGCTGTAAGAGCAGCTGACTGCTAATGAGGTTCTTTTAATTACCCTGAAATTTCATTATACCCCTGTACCTACTATTACTCTTCCTATTCTGGAAGCCCTTTCCTCTTACCTGTCCAAAGAATCACCAACTCATTAAGGTTGGAAAAGACCTCCAAGATCATCGAGTCCAACCTTTGACCAAACACCACCGTGTCAACTAAACCACAGCACTGAGGTCAGTCATTTCTTGAACACTTCCAGGGAAGGTGACTCCACCACCTCCCTGGGCAGCCCATTCCAATGCTTGACAACCCTTTCAGTGAGGAAATTCTTCCTGATGTCCGACCTGAAGCTCCTCTGGTGGATCTTGAGGCCATGTCCTCTTGTCCAGGGGCTAGTTGCTGGGGAGAAGAGGCTGAACCGCACCTACAACCTCCTTTCAGGTAGTTGTTGTGAAAAAGTCTCCCCTAGGCCTCCTTTTCTCCAGGTTTTTACCACTTCCCCTTCATTTTCTGCATCTCCCACCTTCTATTTCCCTTAGCATGTAAATTAGTTACAAATCGTCCTTGCCTTTACCCTGACCCCAGATTAAACAAAGGAGAAAAAAAAAGGCAATTTGGTCTTAAAAAAAACTAAATCCACTACCTGTCCAGTGTGAAAATCCCTGACACAGTTGCTTGCTTGCACATTGTAGCCCCTGTGGGTCTCAGCCCTGGTGCAGGAGCCTGGGGGGGACACAGGTCCACAACAGGAGCACAGACAGCCCTGCTCCCCCTGCCTTGGCACGGGAACAGCCCCATGGCTGCACAGATGCCTTCCCTGGAGAAAGGCAGGCACAGACACATTGGGAGTGCCTTCAGCTCTGGGTTTGATCCAGCACCATGAAGCAGAGCAAAGAATCAACTAGACTTTTCAAAAGATTTCTTTTGTACTTTTTCCTCCGGTTCTGACACCTTCTCTGGTCACGTCTCACAGCTCTTGGTAACTTCACTATGTACGAGAGGAAAAAAGAAAGCAAATTAAAGATCACAGAATCAAAGAACGGTTTGAGTTGGAAGGGACCCTGAAGATCATCTAGTTCCAAGCTCCCTGTTGTTGGCAGGGACACCTTCCACTAGCCCAGGTTATTCAAAGCCTCATCCAACCTGGCCTTGAACACTTCCAGGGATGGAGCATCCACAACTTCTCTGGGAAAACTATGCCAGGGCCTCACCACTCTCCCAGGGAAGAATTTCTTCCTAATATCTAATCTAACTCTGCCCTCTGCCAGTTTGAAGCCATTCCCCCTTCTCCTTCACTCCAGCCCCTCGTCCCAAGTCCCTCTCCAGCTCTCTTGGAGCCCCTTTAGGCACTGGAAGGGGCTCTCAGCTCTCCCTGGAGCCTTCTCTTTTCCAGGTGAACCCCCCCAGCTCTCCCAGCCTGGCTCCAGAGCAGAGGGGCTCCAGCCCTTGGAGCATTTTCATGGTCTCCTTTGGACTCGCTCCAGCAGCTCCACATCCTTCTTATTTTGGAGGCCCCGGGGTTGAAGTCAGCACTGCAGGTGGGGTCTCACAAGAACAGAGTGGAGGGGCAGAACCCCCTCCCTCCACCTGCTGCCCACATTTCTTCAGGTGCAGCCCAGGACACGTTTGACTTTCTGGGCTGTGAGCACACATTGCCAGGTCATGTCCAGCCTCTCATCCACCAACACCCCCAAGTCCTTCTCCTCAGGGCTGCTCTCAATCCCTTCTCTGCCCAGCCTGTGTTTGCTCTTAGGATTGCCCCAACCCAGGTGCAGCACCTTGCACTTGGTGTTGTTGAGCTTCCTGAGGTTGGCACACCCCATCTCTCAAGCGTGTCCAGGTCCCTCTGAATGGCATTCCTTCCCTCCAACGTGTCAGACACACCACAGCTTCGTTCTGTCAGCAAACTTACTGAGGGTGCACTGGATAATGAAGGACATTAGATGATGCAGGGCAAAAAAACCCTCCACAGCAAAATGTTTGTTCTTCCCGTAAAAAAAAAAATCCATATTCACTCTTAACTTGAAGAACCTCTTTCCCCATTCCAAAAAAACCCACAGAAAACCAATCAAAACCTTAGCCATGCTCCCTCAAAACTTACAGAATTTATGGCAGTCCTACCTCAAAAATCAGAAGCCCCACAGTGAAATGTTGCCTTGGGTTGCTAAGCATGAAAGAAGACTCCCAGCTGTTCAGTTATTGTGTGCTGCTCCAACATCTGCTCCCTATCTTTCCCAGGAGAAGGGCAGCAGGCCAAGAGAATCATCTAGTGGCCCATATCCAGCAGCAGTTGGACTGCCTGAGATGGTCTCAGCTGATATTGGTATCAGGTTTCTCACTGAAGTAGTGAGGAGAGTCTATCTAAGAACTTTGTTCTCTGAAGACCATTTTCCTTAGGAGAAAGCAACTAAACCATTCACAGGCAAATGGTGCTTTATTGTTTATCCTCCTGAGCAGTCTATTAAGTAGGTCTTCATTATTTAACCATGTGCAAAGCATGATAACCATTCTCTTGGCCAGCAGAGGAGACTGGCAGGGACAGGAGAAGGCTTCTGAGAGTAAAGTGTGAGTTACTACTAATGATCTCGACAGCCATCCATCCATCATCCTACAGAGGGGTAAGCTGGTTGTAGGAATGTTTGCTGAGACTGGGTTGAAGGTATTTTGTTAGAAGGTCCTTGTCCTTTTATTTGGACACCCTAGGTGTGATTTAGTTAACTGGACAACTGGGTCTGAGCTGGGCAACCATCTCTCCCTTCATATTAAGGTTAAATTTTATCCATGTAGATACTGGAATATGAGGAATATCAGCCCATAGGGATATTGAAAGCAGCACAGAGGAACCATGTCCCAAATGTACCTGTTTCCACTGATCTCAGACACACGGGGAACACCAGCCCAGTTTGTCAACACCCACAAAGTAGACCTCTAAAGCTTAATGAGATGAATCCCTCTTTCACTATCTTTCACTATTGACAAGACTGGAATATTGAGATTCACCCACTCGGCTTGTTCTGTTCTGCCAGGACAGGAACTACCCCCAGTTGGTGCCACAGCCTCCCACCCACCCTGAAATCCCACCTGCCAGATCCTATTGGCCTGAAGATGCTCTGATGTGATGACAACTGTACTGGGCATCCAAAGGAGACCTAGAGAAAAGGAAAGTTCTCCTGTGCTACAGCTACAGTTTGAGGTTGAGAAATATCTCAGATTTCTGATGACAGATGGGACCCTCTGGTCCGAATATCCCTCAGTCACTTCCCACCAACTAGAAGATTTCCAACAGTCAGAAAGAGACATCTCCTGGTTCCTGAGGACAAGATCTGGTGGAGGTAGAGAGTGGGAGGGAACAGCTATTTATGCAGACAACGACTGTCATTTGTTCCCTTTCTAGTTATGTAAATGAGCTGCACTGTTTTAAGACATCTCTACTCATGGAACTGTGTCCACAGCCAGGGAGATGCAGTATCCTAAATCCCTCACCTGCTGTAATCAGCTGGGGCATACCTGGTGTGCAGGCAAAGGTAAAACTCACAGGTAAAACTCAAACCATGAGCTTAAAGATCAGTGGGTATCGTGTTGTGTGACAACTCTTACCTTTCAGTAAATCCACTAAGGGATAGATTATCCCAGAGGGAGGTACCTCAGGATGCTGGCATGTGTCATAGCAGCCACCAGTGAGAAGCTGAGGTGCTGTAAATTCCATCCCAGCTGGCTGGACAGGAAGCTGTTGGACTCAATATCCCCAAATGGAATTTATTTGAAACAAAACCCCTGATTCCTGTGTCTAACCATGAGTCTCCTGCAGCTCCTCTGTTGTATCTTTGGGTCTCCAGGGAATGTTTTGGATACACAGAGGGAATAGCTCAGGTGAGCAGTGCAAGGCTCCAATATCCTACTACTCTTGAAGTCAAGAGTGCAGTTACCCATGAATTCAGAGTTCTTTTCCCTATCTGACCTACCTCCTC